ACTTGTCAAACAACCATAATCTTCTTTCCCAAACTTTCTTTTCTCTATTCCTCATACTTGTCCCATAATAGCTGCTGCTCTCCTCATCCTTTTTTTCACCTGCCCTTCTTGTTCTCCATTCCTCTGTAGTCTGTATCCCAGATATATAAATTCCTTTACTTCCTCCATTTTCTTTCTTTGTCATCTCCACTCTCTTTTCTTCCACCTTTCCCCCTTTCTCCTAAACCTCATTACCTTTGTCTTCTTCGCGTTCAATTCCAACCTCTTATGATCTAAGTACTCTTCTAACCTTTCGATCATACTTCTCAATTCTTCCTCCTCCTCTACCAACAGCACTATATCATCCGCGTACGCCAATGTATATATCATTTTTCCAACTATTCTCACTTCTCTTTTCACTTTCCCCATTTTTTCCTTTAAGTCCGTTATCAGGATGTTAAATAGCATTGGGCTTAATGGGCATCCCTGCCTTACCCCTTTCTCTATCCAAAATTTCTCCCCTATTTTCTCCCCTATTTTTATCCTACAACTTGTCTTTCTCATCACCTTTTCTACCCTTTTTCTTAATCCCTTCCTCTTTCTTCCATTGCCTCCATTAATTTCTCTCTGTCCATTGAATCGAACGGTGCCCTCAGGTCTACGAACATTGCCGTCAGCCTTCCACCTTTTTTTCTCCAATTGTCTATTAATCAGATAATTTATAACATAGATTTTGTCCATCGTACCCATTCCTCTCCTAAATTCTATCTGATGTTTTGGCACTATTCCTTTTTCTTCTACCTCCTTCCTTAACCTTTCCGTTAGTATCATTGTATATACTTTATACAATGTTGGCATCAAGGTTACTCCCCTGTAATTCTCCACCTCTCTTCCTTCTTCTTTTTTCATTATCGGCACTATCACTCTCTCCTTCCATTCTCCGGCCAGCCTTCTTTTCTCCATATTCTGTTACAAAATTCCAATGTCCATTCTTCCAAGTTCCCTCCTTTGTACTTCCATACCTCACTCGGATTTCATCTATTCCTGTCGCTTTTCCTTCTTTCAACTTCTTTATCGCCTCTAACATTTCTTCTCTACTTATCTCCTCTTCCTCCTCATCCTTCACCTCCTCTTCTTTGTTTCCCTTGTTCTTTCTCTCCTTTCTTACTTTCCTCTCCTCCACTCTTCTTAGCAGCTTCATAAAATATTCTCTCCACTCCCTCATCTCAATTTCTTCATTTACTCCTTTCTATCTTCTCTCCCTGTTTACTATTTCTCACACTTCTGATTCTCTTTTCACCTCGCTGCCTTCCTTTCTTATTTCTTGTTTTCTTCTTTTTTCTTCCTCTCACATAATCTCTTGTAATCTTCTTTTCTTTTCCTATATTCTTTTTCCTCCCCTTCTTCTCTTCTCCACCTCTTCAGCTCCTTCTTTACCTTCTTTTTCTCTTCTCTACACTCCTCATCCCACCATCCTTTCTTTTCTTTCTTTCCTTTCCTCCATTCCTCTTCTGTTACTCTCCTTGCTTTCTTCAACTTCTCTTCTATTCTCTTCTATTCTCCATCTATCCCTCCTTTTCTTTCTCCTAATCACCCACTTTTTCTTCAAACCTTCTACGACCTTCCTCATTTCATGCTCCTCTTATCTCTCCTCGATTCTTTCTCCTCTCTTTTCTCTGTTTTCCTTCTATCTCCATCTCCACTGGATGATGATCTGAATCCACTTTATCCCTTACTCTTAACTTTCTCACCTTCTCTTCGCTTTCCTCATTTCCTAGTACATAATTTATTACTGTGTTCCCTCTTTCTCCTGTAAATGTCCATTCCCTCTCTTCATCTCCCTTTGTGTTCCCGTTCAGTATGCTCCATCCTCTTTTTTCCATAAATTCTATCAATTTTCTTCCTTCTGTGTTGATTACGTTTTCGTACGGCTTCGTTTTCCTTCGACTTTCTATTATTTTCTCTTATCCTCTCCTCTCCTGCAATCTCTTCTTCCCTAACTCTTCCTCCTTCCATTCCCGTCTTCGCATTAAAATCTCCTATTATCGTATAAACCTCATCCTCTTTCTCTTCTGTCCATTGCTTCATCTCTTTACACGCCTCCTATTCCTTCTACGTATATTCCTATCACCTTCCATCTTTCTTCCTCCACCTTTATTCTTCCTACCACAAAACCCTCTTTATCCATCTCCATCTTTCTTCCTTCTCTGCTCCTTTCTTATCCCCATGATCATGCCTCTTATCGCCTCCCTCTTCCTTTCTTGCTCTTTTTGCCTGCTCTTTGTACATCCCATACGTATCTTTTTGGTAAAAATCTTCTCATTTTCTTCCATCCTTTCTCTTCCGTTCATGTTTCTGATAACACTCACATTTCATTCCTCTAATCTTTTCCAAAAGTCCCTATCCTTGTTCTCTATTTTTGCTACATTCCAGAAAACCACTTTCCATCCTTTTCTTCTCCCCTTCTTGTTTCTTTCCTCATCTATCTCTACTTCAGAATGTCTTTTTTTCTTCTCTTCTCTTCTCCCGTTATCTTTTTCCCTATATTTCCCTTCTCATCTTTCAAAACTTTTTTCTTTTTATTTCATCTCCACCACTTTTCTTCTATTCTTATCTTGCCATTACTTATCCATGTTCTTTTTCCTCTTTCCTCTTCCTTGCTATTTCTCCCAGCTTCCTTCTTATCTCCCTTTCTTTCCACGTTAAATCCGTATTTATCCTTTTTTCTGCCTTTCAGTTTCTTTTTCTTTTCCATCACCTCCCATTTTTGCTCTTTCTTCTCTAATTCTACCACCACCATTTCTCTCCCCTTCTCTCTGTCCTCTCCTATTTTCCTTATCTTTATTATCTTTATTTTTGCTTCTATCTCCTCTAACAATTTCTCCACCTCTATTTTTTTTTCCTCATTGACTACTAGGCCTTTTATGACGATATTCTCCTCTTTTCCTCCTTGTCTCTGCTATCTCCCACTTTCTTTCCATATCCCTTACTCTTTTATGCAATGCACTCTTTATGTTCTCCCCCTTTCCTCTCTCACTCCCCCTTTCCTCTATCTTCTTCTCCAGTCCTTCTATTCTCCTCTTCATACCTTCCATGTTTCTCCTTTAACTCTTTTTTTTCTCTCCATCTCTCCATTTGTTCCTTGCAATCTCTCCTTAACTCTTCCATCTCTCCTCTTATCCATTCCCTCTGTTCCTTTATCTCCTCCCTCAATTTTCCCATCATCTCCCTCACTTCTCACTTATTCTGTAACAGTCTCTTAATCTCTCCTTTTTCTCCTTCCTCTTTATCTCCTTTCTCCGGTGATCTTGTTATTTTATTGCTTCTCTAAAATCTCTACGCCCTCCTCCCCATTCTTCTCCTCTAACTCCCTTTTTTTTCTTTTCAGCAATTCCTCTATATTCCCTAGGCTACCACTTCTTTTTTTTCTTTTTTTGCCTAATACTATTTCTCCTCCCTCACTTCCCTTGTTTCCTTCTTTCTTTCCGCTCAGCATATTTTACTGAACCCTTAGATTTTAATTCCTATCCTTTTTCCTCTCTATACTCTCCTTTTTCCGTGTTTTCCTTTTTACCCTCTTATCGCCTCTCTATATTCTCCCTACTTCTTGTTTCTTACTTCCTATATTCACTAGTAATTCCCCAGCGCCTGTTTTCTTCCTTTCTACTCCCCTTTTTCTCTCTATGTATTTTATGCCCACTATCTGCTGTTATCCAATTCTCTATATCTCTCGTTCCTATTTCTCTCTGACTATTCTTTTTCCACAACTTTCACTCTCACTTTTTATCTTTCTTTCTTCTCACACTATTTTCTCTCTCACTACACTTTATACCCTCTAATTTCCCTCAAATATTCACACTCACGCTCTACGTGTCCCACACGTCTGCACCGGAAACAGAAGTCCTTACTTCCGAATAAAAGATCTGATTCTATGATTCTAGCTTCGCGGGGTTTCCACGGTTTCGGGAGAGATAGGTGAGGGAAGAGAAGGGGTTCGCGGGAGTTCGGGGGAGGAATTAGGGGAGAAGTAGGATGTGAGGGTGTAGTATGCGAAAATTATTGTTAGCTATCTGATAATCTATGTAGTTCTTATATTCTCTAACTCAGGTTCCTAATTTCTTCTTAAGCGCCCGGTGAACCTGCGTGGAATTGATTACGGAAGCGTCTCCTGCGACCCGAGCCACTTCTTGTCTCAGCCGTCGGTTCCGTCGATTTCGCGCGTGTCTTACTGCGGCCCGCGAAATCCGATTTTTAGAAATGTCCACTACGGACTAACAATTAAAAATGTTTGAAATATTTGCGTGGTAAATAACTCTTATATTCCCGAAATAATATATATATATATATATATGTCTAAAGGCAGTTTTGACGACATTTTGCAGTATAATTTGGCAGTTTTGACGACTATTGGCAGTTTTCACGACCGTCGTCAAAGGCACCGCGATATAAAGGCAGTTTTAACGACAGTCGTCAAATCTACCTTTATATGGCTGTATGCCTATATATATATATATATATTCAGTAAACAATGTAGAAAAATGCTTGGTTAAAATATTTTCATATTTAAATGTTGTTATATTATGTATATCTGTGTTTTACATGTTGTACTGTTTAAAGCAATTAATAATTATATATGGTGTTTTTTTGCACGTAAAATCTCACTGCCGTGGCATGAAATTTTAAGCGCCAAAGAATATAGTACAGTTATTAAATGTTTACGTACAGTATATTATACGTAAAACAACTATACAACAAAATAAAACTGCTTATAAATAATAGTTATTTCAACAAAACGTTTTTCTACGTTGTTTACTATGCATATAGTATATATATATGTCTAAAGGCAGTTTTGACGACATTTTGAAGTATAATTTGGCAGTTTTGACGACTATTGGCAGTTTTCACGACCGTCGTCAAAGGCACCGCGATATAAAGGCAGTTTTAACGACAGTCGTCAAATCTACCTTTATATGGCTGTATGCCTATATATATATATATACATTCAGTAAACAATGTAGAAAAATGCTTGGTTAAAATATTTTTATATTTAAATGTTGTTATATTATGTATATCTGTGTTTTACATGTTGTACTGTTTAAAGCAATTAATAATTATATATGGTGTTTTTTTGCACGTAAAATCTCACTGTCGTGACATGAAATTTTAAGCGCCAAAGAATATAGTATTATACAATTATTAAATGTTTACGTACAGTATATTATACGTAAAACAACTATACAACAAAATAAAACTGCTTATAAATATATAATAGTTACTTCAATAATACAAAACGTTCTTCTACGTGGTTTACTATGCATATAGTATAAATATTTATATAAAGGTAGATATGACGACAGTCGTTAAAACTGCGTTTGTACTGCGATATGTTTGACGACGGTCGCGAAAACTGCCAACAGTCGTTAAAACTGCCTAGTTATACTTGAGAACGTTGTCAAAACTGCCTTTGGATAAATATATATTATATTATATTATATGTATACATATATGTATACTCTGCACATATGACAGGAAGCTTAATTTTACATATATCATTAATTTAATATCTTATTAGAGATATTTAGTTCTAAACATATTTAAAAGTTTACGAGATTTTGGTCTTTTCTTCATTTCGCAATAGCATTGGGTAAATATTTTTTGTTATAAAAGAATGTGCACATTTAATAATGTAACAAATTCTTAAATGTTTATGTCATAAGATATACATTATAATTAGGAACGAATATTTTTTAATGTTTATTTAGTTTTTAATACAAGAGTATGTGCGACAAGCCTAAAAAGTTTTTTCAAATCATTAATCAATCTTTTTTACTTACAGTGCATCCGTTACCCTAGGAATAATGCAATGTTAAATCTATGCATGCGTATATTTACCAGTGCTGAATATGACTAGAGTGTAACTAGAGTATGATATAATATTTTTAAATATCATGTCTCCTTACCTTTTTGTCCTTTCAATCTAAGGAAAGACTGAAGTGTGACGATGACAATTATACTGATAAGTTTGCTGTAGAAACAAGGTTTAAATGTCACATTCTCTATTAATTTTGTTTTTTTATTTTAAACAGCCCAAAGAACTTGATGGATACTAATTTGCAAGTCATATATCCAGTTTACATCAAATGTTAGGGAAGAATCCATTACAAAACATGAGAATCTTTTAAGGGAGAACTTAATATTATTGTATCCACTGATAGAATCTTGTGACCTGTAATAAAAAGATCATCGAATGACCATTTGAAAATATTATATACTGTAATTGCACTAGTCATACCCAGTACTGATATTGTGTCGCATAGATTCAACATAGCATTATTTCTAGTAATGATTGCGCTATAAGTAAAAAAGATTGATTAAAAATTTTAAGGCTTGTTGCATATATACATACTCTTGCATTAAAAACTATAAATATACAACAAAAGTTATTCGTTTTTAATTATAATGCATCTTATTACATTTACATATTTAAGAATTTGTTACGTTACTAAATGATTTTTCCTCAGCGAAAATATCGAGAAAGGTCATCATTTTTTTATTGTTCCCAACTTTTGAAATCATGTATCTTTGTAACTAACAATAAGCTTTAAATTAAAATTCTATTAAAGTAAACTTTACCTAAAATTAACTAAAAAATGTAGTTTTGTTAATAATTTATTTTTTACATTTATTTTTTAATTTACAAAAAATCTTCTATTTTCAATCGTTTATAACAAAAATTATTAGTGCCTGGACATTTTCGCTGAGGAAAAATCGTTTCCAAATCGCCTCAGGAATCTCCTATTAACGTGTGATACGGTAGGTCTGGGACACCCTGTATATACACCCACATATATATAATATATTGTACAATATATATATATTTGTCTAAAGGTAGTTTTGACGACATCTTGAAGTATAAGTTGGCAGTTTTGACGACTATTGGCAGTTTTCACGACTGTCGTCAAAGACATCGCGGTATATATAAAGGCATTCTTAATGATCATATGCACTTTTTTAAATATGCATGTAGCTGCATTTAATTTAAAAAATAGTAATATTTTTTTTTCTATTATAAATATATATAGAGAGGAGTAAAAATATTTATATTACCATTCAAAGCTTTAATATTTATTTCAATGCTTTTCCTTACAAAAGATTAATTTAAAGCTTAGTCTACAATAGAGTCGTAAATCATAATGGCTCCTGCACACCAGCGCGATGACGCGACACGCGATGCGCGATATCCAATGAGCGTGCAGCTTTTCCGCATGTCTAGTCTATATCGTCTATATACGATTTCCGCAAACTCGTTTAGAACATCAATATCATCATGTAGATGAGCAATACATATATTGCAATCGAGTTATTTTATATTAATAGATCGTATTTTTATGTAAGTGTATAATTGATTATGATTATGTAAGTGTATAGCCATTATCTTTTGATATTCGCATTCACACTCTTTTTGTGATATATCATTAGGTTAAAAATAAAATAATATGTTAACCTCATAACCTAACCATACGGATGGCTCGATGACGGAATAAATATTATATTCTCGATTTTGTTTCTGCGCATATTTGCATTTGTTGCAGTTGTTTATACACACACACAAAATGTTTATATTAATATTTGCTAAAGGACGTTATACTGTGTGTTCAAAAAAGAAAAAAGTAAAAAAATCTCACATTATCGCAGTTCATAGTGAGTATATGTATTAATATATAATATCTATAATAACCCTTTCCAGAATTATAAAAAAATTATTCAGAGAATATGATTTGATATTGTCTTGCATATCTTTTGCATTTTTTATATACATTTGTGTACATTTTTATAAACAGATTTTTTTTATTTTGCAATATTTATGTACAGTATTGTGGTATCTAAAATTTTATAAAATTATATTTATTTTTAAATATATTTATACACATGTATGTTATTCACTGTCATTCTACAGATATATTGTAATATTATTTATGCAAAAATAATATTGAAAAATATCTATGCAATAATATTGCATAGCAATATATGTGTATAATGTGTCCATTTTTTATTTTCTTTTTTATGTATAAATTTCAGCAAATAAATCTGTTTTACAAGAAATTGCAGACAATTTGAATAAAGCAATTCCAGCTATAGAATTATTAAATATTTCATCAGGTAATGTTAGAATATATGCATTATTTATATATATACATATATATAATTTAAAAATTTATTCAAAATTATACTTATTTAATATATGTACAATAAAATATTATTCAAATTTCATTTCTTAGATGTATCGCTAACTTCTGATACTAATAACACATCAAATGATATATCAAATATGCCAAATTCGAATAAGAGTGAAGATATTTGCGCATCATCGAATGATTCCAATAATATTGAACAATGCACTAAAAGTGACAAAATTGGTAACAGTTTACCGCTGTTTGATATAACACACAGCAATGATAAAAATCCTACATTTTCGTCTAAAATGTTCCTACTCTCTCTAGTGATGGCAGTCCCAATAAAGTAGTTAATAATAAAATAGCTAATGATAACATGATAAATGGTAAGTCTTTGATATGTTTAATCTATTTGTATACATAATATGTATTGTGCAATTATGTAAATATTTTTTAATTATAGTTATATTTATTTTTTATAAATTACAAAACTAAATTAAAAATTAATAAAAATAATCTAGTAAATTTTGTTTTTCTATAAATTATGTTTGCGATACAATATTTTATATACATATTTTTTAACTTATTTAATTATTTTTCAAATGCATTATTAACTGCAGATACAAATGCCACATTAAATATTAATACATCGGATATGAATACATTGGATATGAATACAAAAAATATTTGTACATTAGTTGATAAAAACTGTGATATATAATGCAACGTGTGTGATAAAAGTGAATAATACAATGCTTTGTGATGATGCAAGTGCGAATAATGAAATTAAAGATCGTGCATATTTGCATAACGATAATCCTATTACCAATAAAAATTCTAATGAATTAACTAATAATATCAATATAATGAATGGTAAGATTTCTGCATATATCTAATTGTATATGTAAGACATTTTAAATACATTCAATGTATATTTATTAGACATTTTCTTTTTTATGATAATTGTACGCATTACTTTTTATAAAATATTTACAAAATGAGTATTATGTACGTACTTTTAATAAATTGTTATCAGAATAAATAATAAATTGTTATCAAAAACAGATAAAGGGGTTAAGGATATGGAATCTTAATTGTGAAAAGAATAGATATTTTTAAATGTTGGTGTATGATTTTGAAGAATTTATTTATTTATAACCAAAACGCCAAACGTTTTGATTCATTCTGATTCTTTT